TAATAATAATAATTGGAACCTAGAGTTGGAAGGGACCCCAATGGCCATCTAGTTCGAACCCAATCCTGCCAGGCTGGAAGACACCAGGCAAGCCCTCCTGACAGGTGGCCATACAGCCCTGCATGATAATAACAATAACAATTATAGAAGTTGGAAGGGACTCCAACGACAATTCAGTTCAATCCCAATCTTGCCAACCAGGAAGACACCAGGGAAGCCCTCCCGACAGGTGGCCACTCAGCTCTGCTTGATAATACTAATAACAATAACAATTATAGAACCTTAGAGTTGGAAGGCCCCCCAGATCAGCTTGATGATAATAATAATAATAATAATGATAATGGAACACTAGAGTTGGAAGGGACCCCAATGGCCACCCAGTTCAGGCAGGAAGACACCAGGCAAGCCCTCCTGACAGGTGGCCATCCAGCCCTGCTTGATAATAACAACAACAACAATAATAATGGAACCCCAGAGTTGGCAGGGACCCCAATGGCCACCCAGTTCAATCCAGGCAGGAAGACACCAGGCAAGCCCTCCTGACAGGTGGCCACCCAGCTCTGCTTGATAATAACAATAATGGAGCCCCAGAGTTGGCAGGGCCCCCAGTGGCCCTCCAGTCGGCCCCGCTCCCTGTCCCCTGGATCCAGAGGCGGGAAGGATACGGTCCGCCCTGCAGGGCGCGGATGGGGGGCGCGGGGGCGGCGGCTGTGGGGGGCGGCGGGGGTGCGGGCGGGAGCGGGGAGAGGGGCGGCGGGGGGGGCGGCGGCGGCTGTGGGGGGAGCGCTCCCCCGGCGCCGCCCCCCGCGGAGGGCCCCGCCCCTGCTCCCGGCGCCCCTCCTCCCGCCGCCCCCGCCGCCCCCGGTCCCGCTCCGGGCTTGAGGGCCGTCTTGTGCGGGAGGCTCATGGCGAGGCGGAGCCAGGCCCAGGCCGGCGGCGGCGGGGACAGCCCAGCGGGCCACCACCCCCGGCCGGTCTCCGTGGAACGCGCCCTGCGCTCCTCCCCCTCCCTCCCTCCCTCCCCGCCCCCTCCCTCCTCCCTCCCTGCCTTCCTTCTCCTCAGGCCGCGCCGCCGCCGCCGCTCGGGCCGCCGCCTCGCCCGCTATTCATGAGGGAGGGCCGCCGGTCCCGGCGAGAGAGAGCGGCCTGCAGCCCGGAGAGAAGGCCCCGCCGACAGTGGCGGCGTTCGGGCGGGCGATGCCGACGGATTCTCCTCACGGACCGAGCGCGGCCTCCAACATGGCGCCGGCGGCCGCCTCCAGCAGCAGTCCGGCAGGACGAAGATGACGACGAGGGCAAGCGACGCCGCTCGGCTCTTCGGCAATCTCCGGAAAAGACCGACCTCGCTCGCTCACTAGCTCCGCCTCCTTTCAGCTTTCGCGCAGGCGCATCCTCGCCTTGCCGGCTTCCTTCACCCCGCCTCTTTCCAGCTTTCCTTCAACCCCGCCTCCTTCCAGCTTTCGCGCAGGCGCAATGTAGAACCCCCGCCTTCCTTCCAACTCCGCCTCTTTCCAGCTTTTGCGCAGGCGCACTCTAGGACCCTCACATTCCCTCAACCCCGCCTCCGTCCAGCTTTTGCGCAGGCGCTCTGTAGAACTCCCGCATTCCTTCCAACTCCGCCTCCTTCCAGCTTTTGCGCAAGCGCACTCTGGGACTCCCGCCTTCCTTTCACCCTGCCTCCTTCCAGCTTTCGCGCAGGCGCTCTGTAGAACTCCCGCATTCCTTCCAACTCCGCCTCCTTCCAGCTTTTGCGCAGGCGCACTCTGGGACTCCCGCCTTCCTTTCACCCTGCCTCCTTCCAGCTTTCGCGCAGGCGCACTGTAGACCTCCCGCATTCTTTCCAACTCCGCCTCTTTCCAGCTTTTGCGCAGGCGCACTCTGGACAGCCAGTCTTCCTTCACCTCAAGTCCTTTCAGCTTTCGCGCCTGCGCACTGTAGAACTCCAGCCTTCCTGGTGAAGCGGAGGAAAAGGAAGGGGCGCGAGGAATTGTGGGAGTTGAAGTCCAAAACACCGGTGGGGATACACTCAGATAGATAGATAGAGAGAGAGACAGAGAGATAGAGGCCACATTCTCAGCTTTGGAAAGACTGAGGCCTACCGTATGCTGGGAAGCCTGCCTCGCAGTGGTTCTCGTTGCGATGGCAACACAGCCTACTTGTAGGGGAGGCCTGCACGCTAAAACCGAGGCCTGCAGGCCACCAAGAGGCCTGATTATGCTTCTGCAAAAGTTTTGAGAGTGGCTTGTAATTATTCTGAATGAGCACAGACTGCATTATCACCAGCATACTGGAGTTTTATATGACATTGTAGGTCCTCTTCAGAATGAGCACAGTCTACATTATCATCAGCATACTGGAGTTCTATAACATTCGTTGTAGGTCTGAATGAGCACAGACTGCATTATCATCAGCATACTGAATTTCTATAAGACATTGTAGGTCGTCTTCTAAATGAGCACAGGCTACGTTATGATCAACACATTGGAGTTCTATAACAGACATTGTAGATCTGAATGAGCACAGACTGCATTATCATCAGCATACTGGAATTTTATAAGACATTGTAGGTCCCCTTCTGAATGAGCAGTCTACATTATCATCAGCATATTGGAGTTCTATAACAGACATTGAAGATGTTCTGAATGAGCACAGACTGCATTATCATCAGCATATTGGAGTTTTATAAGACATTGTAGATCCTCTTCTGAATGAGCATAGTCTACATTATCATCAGCATACTGGAGTTCTATAACAGACATTGAAGACCTTCTGAATGAGCAGACTGCATTATCATCAGCATACCAAATTTCTATAACAGACATTGTAGGTTGTCTTCTAAATGAGCACAGGCTACGTTATGATCAACACATTGGAGTTCTATAACAGACATTGAAGATGTTCTGAATGAGCACAGACTGCATTATCATCAGCATACTGGAGTTTTATAAGACATTGTAGATCCTCTTCTGAATGAGCATAGTCTACATTATCATCAGCATACTGGAGTTCTATAGCATTCGTTGTAGGTCTGAATGAGCACGGACTTTGTTATCAGCATACTGAATTTCTATAACAGACATTTTAGGTCGTCTTCTAAATGAGCACAGACTACGTTATGATCAACACATTGGAGTTCTATAACACACATTGTAGATCTTCTGAATGAGCACAGACTGCATTATTTATTTACAGTATTTGTATACCGCTTTTCTCACCCCGAGGGGGACTCATACTGGAGTTCTATAACATTCGTTGTAGGTCTGAATGAGCACAGACTGCGTTATCATCAGCATACTAGAGTTCTATAACAGATGTTGTAGGGACCTTGATTTTGGCTTTCAACCCACTGAGGATTCTACAATGTGATTCTACAATGAGAAAGAGTACTCCAAGTCCCATGTGTCAACTAGAGAGGGAGAAATTTGGGATGAAACCCGGGATCTGGATCCATTCAACGGCAAGGCAGCTCCATTGGTCTGTTTTGGGAAGCGGAAATGTGAGAGCAAACAAAGAAATACAAACGTGGTCGTATAAAAGCTTTGTTTTATTGCATTTGCCAGGAATTACAGTCATCCAAAACAGAGATAAAGAACAAAGAGAGATAAAAATAAAGCTTTTCTTTCCCTTCCTTTTCCTCCTTGCATGGATATATTACATAATTTGAACATGGAATACTACAAATCCCTGATGGGATTTCCCCAACAATCCAAACCCTGATGGGATTCATAGTTTCCGCAGAGTTATGAGCTCCTTTTCTTGATTTCGCATTGGGGAAGTGGAGAATTAAGGCTGTGATGGGCCATTCTGGCATTAAGGCACAGGAAGGGAAGTCAAACCGGCAACCCGTCACTCTTCTCTTGTCATTTCCATCCCTTATTGGGGTGCTTGGATGCATCTTTCCAGCCCACTTTGGCAAGGCACTCTTGGAGGAAACGTACGGGAAAGACATTGAGGTGCCGCGTGGCCAAAGAGGCCTCCAAATCCTACGAAATCCAATCCAGCCAATCGCCTCCTTCTCCTATGGAGATCACAACATTTCCCTTTTTGTTTTTCCTCCAGTCCTTATATTATGGACTCTTGAGTGGTGCTGTGGTCATAGGGGTTCCCAGGCCTGGAGTCAACACTAAGTGCACATACACATATATCAATCACTTACAAATAGGTATCACAAAGCAGTTGCTCTACTCCGAACTCAAGAACAGAAAACGGCATGTTGGAGGACAGGAAAAGAGATTGAAAGATGGGCTCAAAGCCAACCTTAAAAACTGACATAGACACTGAGAACTGGGAAACCCTGGCTTGTGAGCGCTCCAGTTGGAGGTCAGCTGTGACCAGCAGTGCTGCAGAATTTGAAGAGGCACGAATGGAGGGCGAAAGAGAGAAACGTACCAAGAGGAAGGCGCGTCAAGCCAACCCTGACCGGGACTGCCTTCCACCTGGAAACCGATGCCCTCACTACGGGAGAAGATGAAGGTCAAGTCATCTACTGACCCACCCTGGAGGACTATCCTACTTGGACAACAAGGGATTGCCTAAGTGAAGTGAAGGTATCACATATTAATGTATTATATATATATATATATATACACACACACACACACACACACAATCATTTCAGACTGCATATTTATAGCATTATGACCCCACTTGAAGTATTTTATAAGTGATTTCTATTTATGAGTGTGTGTATGTAAGTAAGTGAGTGTGTGTATACACACACGCGCACACGTGCATTTAGGGCCACTTCAAACTGCACATTTCTATTTATGAGTGTTTGTGTGTGTATAGATTGTGTGTGTGTGTGTGTGTGTGTATATATATATATATATATATATATATACACACACACATATATACACACACACACACACACACATGCATTTAGGAGGCCATTTCAAACTGCACATTTATGACATGACTCCACCTGAACTGCCTTACAAGTAATTTCTATTTATGAGTGTGTGTGTGTGTGTGTGTGTGTGTATACACACACACATGCATTTAGGGCCATTTCAAACTGCACATTTATGACATGACTCCACCCGAACTGCCTTATAATTGATTTCTATTTATAAGTAAGATTATATATATATATATATATATGTATACATACACACACATATACACACACACACATATATAAACATACATGCGTGCACTTAGGGCCATTTCGGACTGCAAATGTATGGCATTATGACTCCACTTGAACTGCATTATAAGTGATTTCTAAGTGAGATCATATATACTATGTATATGTATATTTACACACACATATAATATACACACACATACTTGTCCATGAGAGGCATTTCAGCCTGCATAGTTATGGCATTATGATTCCCCTTGAACTGCCTTGGCGACACTTATAAGTGATTTCTATTTATCAGTGTGATGTGTATGTGTATATGTATATACACAAACACACACATTACTGCCTTGCCCTCCTGCTTCCAACGCCAGGTCGAAAAACGAAGCTCAAAAACGGGGAGAAAGGGTCTTTCACTCCAGACATTGACACAAATGGAAGTCCAGCCCCAGTTTGGGGTCACGGAAGGGGCCGAAAGAGGAGGACGAAATGAAGAATTGCCACGATTCTGTGGGAGGAAGAGTGGGAGCCTCGGATGGAAACGATCCGTTTTTTGAACCTGAGATTCCGCTGGTGCTTTTTTTTCGTTTTTGAAGTTCTTCAGAAGGGTTTACTCAACAGCCTTCATGTATTCAGCATATAGGGACATAACTCAGTTAGATAGGTTTGAAGTCGTTTCTCTGTGCAGATCACACAGGGCGTTTTTCTGACAATCAACAGCAACTGAGAGTCCGCTGGTGAGTGGGTTTGGGGCTCAGGCGACCCTTCCTTCTCCGCCCCATAACCGCTTGCCTTCCGCCTCTTTCCCGGACCGTGCGGAAGTGGACAGGAGAAGCGTCAGCCGGAGAAGACGCCGGAGGCACTTGGGAATTCCGAAGGACATGGAAAAAAAGAACGAAGGTCCCTTTTGGAAGCGAAATCCCTGCAGAGCGGCTCCCCCAAATCCCAATTCCCTGGGAGTCGTAGTCCACAAAGTAACGGATTCCCACGCTTTTAGGATGGAAGGGAGTTGGGTCTTCCGCTCCAGGCAGCCGTCCTTTGGCTTCAAGCAGGATGCTCTTGCGCACGAAAAGTAGAAATAAATACCGATCCATTCAACTTTATACACGTTCCCTGAAATTTCCAGTGTTCTGCAAGATTCAAAATAATAATAATAATACTATTTCTATACGTTGGTGTTTGTGTCTATGACGCAGGCCTCGGTGAAGGGTGTGAGCGTAAAGGGGTTTCCTCCTCCTCTCTTCTTGGTGGATTTCCCATTCAAGGCAAGAAGAGTCTATATTCCCTGCATAAAAATACCAGCCTTTTGGGAACAGAAGGCAGTCCAAGCCTCTTCCAGCATGATGGGATATGCCGGACCGCCGAGAGGATATAGGCAAGGCCACCAATAAGTCTCGAGTTTGGAGTCTTCCCAGTGGGCAAAGGCTTCCCGAGAGAGAGAGAGCGAGCGACAGAGAGAGGAAGGCCCAAAACGGCCCGGTGTGGCCCTTCTTTCTTCCCGGAAGGGGAGCTCCTTCACCAGACTTCACACTTCCTGGCAGGGTTCATGGGGGACCCCGGGCGGCAGTGGAAGTGCTCCGAAAACTCCCTCGAGTTGGAGAGCGTCCCCACCACGCGGAAGCGGGAAGGACTGTGCGAGTCGGTCACCAGGCCCTCGTGCGCGCTCTCCGGCGTGCGGACTGAGCACCAGACCTGAGAGAGAAGGAGAGAAAGAATGGAAGGAGGCAGCCCCCATCATCATCATCATCATCATCATTATTAAGCACAGCTTGACTATCTGTCGGGAGGGATTGGATTGTGTCTTCCTGCCTGGCAGAATGGGGTTGGACTAGGGGGCCCTTGGGGTCCCTTTCATCATCATCATTGACATCATACTCTATGTTTGGTGTATGCTTTTTTAAATAATGGTGTGTTGTGATATATGTATTTTCCTGTTCATGTTGGTATGTTTTGACTATGTCGTCCCCTGCCTCAAGCGCTTAGGAAGGGGAGAGTATGTCACACCAGAGAGCGAGGAAGGAGGCAGCAACCTACTCACTGGTAAGCAGCCCACTCTGAGTGAACCCATGGTGTGGTGGAGTGTGAGTTTTAATCTACAGTTATGTTTGATTATAGATAGGTGTTTAAAAGGGTATCTAAACTAGTATAACTGGGGGGTGGGGGTGGTAGCCAGCTTAACTCACTTTGAGCTGGGTTGCCATGGAAAAAGGGGCGGAGCCAACTGCCACTTGGCAGGGCAGCCATTTTAAAACGGGCAGTCTATAGTCAGTGAACTACAGGGAGCGCTGGTTCTGTTGTGTGTTGAGAGCCAGTGGGGTAGTCTGTAGTCTGAGATCTGCAGGGAAAGGCTGATTCTGCTGTGTTGAGAATCAGGAAGGTTTTGGCTTTTAGCCTGTGTGGTTTGGATGGGTCGAGTTAATTTGTTTATATTGTTGGTCAGTGTGTGAGCAAAAGGGGGAGAGAACCCTGGTGGGAATCTGTACTGCAACAGAAATGGCATGGGGAAAGGATAGGCTTGTACCTGAAGTAATCTATTGAAGAAAGAAACACATTTTGAAGGAGAATAAGTTTAAAACCTGTTTAGTGAAAGGAATAGTTCTCTTAAGAGTTGTTTTATGAAATGTATTAAATGTAACCTCTGAAGAAATGTGCCTCTAAGAGCTAATAAACATTGAAACCATCAAGCTTCTTCTATACTTCAATAAACTTGTTACAGTTTCTTCTAAAGCCAAGTCTCTGTTACAAATACTTTCAAGTTAAACTACGCTACACATTCAAGAAAGACCAAATCAACATTACAAGCTATTAGTTATGTTATCAATTTAGTAAGTCCTTACAAAGTAGTGGCTCCTTTACAAACTTTTACTAATTGGTGGCATTGTTACAAACTGGGTGCCTCCTTTACACACGGGCTTAAGAGGTGCCGGATAAATTGACTCTCTGGTTGCTTGAGAGTACAATGCTCAAATCACTATGCCATGCTAGCTCTCGTCTAGATAGATGGATGGAGTGAGGGGATAGATAGATAGATAGATAGATAGATAGATAGATAGATAGATAGATAGATAGATAGATAGAGGATGAATGGATGGATATATGTGTGTGTGTGTGTGTGTATATATATATATACAGGAGATAGATATAGATAGATGGATAAATGGATGGATAGATGATAGACAGCCATGGATGGATAGAATAGATGGATAGATAAAATAAATAGAATAGATGGATAACAGCCATAGAGAGATGGAAGGAATGATACAGATGGAGAGATGAATGGGTGGAAGGAAGGATGGATGGATGGATGGATGGATGGATGGATGGATGGATGGATGGATGGATAGATAGATAGATAGATAGATAGATAGATAGATAGATAGATAGATAGATAGATAGCCATAGATGGATAGGTAGATGATGTACCAATAGACGGACAGAGAGAAATATATGGATGTATATATATAGGAGATACTTAGATGAATGGATGGATATATGTTACACCGAGATGGATGAATGGCTAGATAGAATAAATAGAATACAATGTATTGACAACAGCCGGTAGGCTGTTAGGAATTGTGGGAGTTGAAGTCCAAAACACCTGGAGGGTCGAAGTTTGCCCAGGCTTGAGATAGATGACTGGATGGATAGAATAGATAGAGATGGATGAATGGATAGATAGAGTAAATAGAATACTTACTACTTACTATTCTATTACTTTGAATAGATTGATAACAGCCATAGACGGATGGTTGGACAGACACAGATGGATAGATAGATAGATAGATAAAACAGACAGAGATGGATGGATAGATTATATGGGTAGAAAATGTGCATTATTATTATGATTACTGTTTGGCAGAGTACCTGGGCGAACCCAACGAAGAAGAGCTGGTAGTTGGTGAGGCTGAGGGCTGGGAGGGTCTCCTCCTCCCCATTCTTCCGCACCCAGTTCTGATAAGCCTGAATACGCAAAAAAAAAAAAAAAAGGAGGACGATGTAGGAGCCGACCCTCAAGATTCTCACGACTCCTCCGCCTCAAGTGATCCACCTGAGCCTGGACGAGCCCCCATTTGAGCCGAGGCCTCAGGGGTTTGCAGGGGAGAGCTTTCTCCTTGACTGGCACCCTTCAGGATGGGATATTGTGGTAGTTGTTGCGCCCCATTGGGTAGTGGCCTCACCCGGTAGGCGGCTTTGAGTCCTCCGTTGTCGGCGATGTTCTCCCCGAGGGTGTGCTTCCCGTTGACAGCCTCCCCGTTGACCGAGTAGTTGCCATACTGCGCCACCATGCACTCCGTCTGGTGCTTGAAGGCCTCCGCCGAGGAATTCTTCCACCAAGGACGCAGGTTGCCCTCCTTGTCGTACTCCCGGCCTGCAAAGGGAATAGGATTGGAAGGAGGCAGGCCCCATCATCATCATTATTAAACCGCCTTGAGTTGCCGTAAGGCTGAGAAAGGTGGTACACAAATGCAGTAAATAAATAAATAGATATTAGGCATATCTTGGATGACTAGCTGTCGGGAGGGATCGGATTATGTCTTTCTGCCTGGCAGAATGGGGTTGCACTGGGGGGCCCTTGGGATCGATTTCATCATCATCATCATCATCAACATCATACTCTATGTTTGGTGAATTTTTTTAAAATAATGGTGTGTCATGATATATGTATTTTTCTGTTCGTGTTGGTATGTTTCGACTTTGTTGTCCCCTTCCTCGAGTGCTTAGGAAGGACAGATAACAAATAGGATGCATTATCATCAGTATGTTGCTGATGGCAATCTCCTTCCTCACCTTGATCATCAAAGGCGTGGGTAAGTTCGTGGCCCACTACCACGCCAATGCCACCAAAGTTGAGGGCCCTGCAAAAGAAAAAGGAAGGAACGAGAGGAAGGAAAACAAAGCAGCCCATGAGAATAAGGTCGAGGGAGTTTCGCGTCAATTCCCTGAAAACCCAAAAGGCCCAAAATATTCAGGAAACAATTGATTTCTCGGCCTTTGGCTTGATTTTGTGTTTGATTCTCCTGGTATTCTCATAACGGAGAGAGGCAACGCCAAAAGCAACTTGCTATGGATAAGCTCCTCTCTGTCTTGATTGGCAGGGAAGAAATGAAGAAGGAAGTGGAGGAGAAGGAGGAAAAGAAAGAGGAAGAAGGGGAATAAAGGAGAAAGAAGGAAGAGAAAGGAAGGAGGAGTAGAAAAGAGAAAGGAGAAGAAAGGAAAAGGAGTAGAAAAGGGAAAAGAAGAAAGAGAAAGGAGGAAGAGTAGAAAAGAGAAAGGAGAAGAAAGGAGAAGGAGTAGAAAAGGGAAAGGAAGAGAGGAAAACAAAGGAGGAGGAGAAAAGAAAGGAGGAAGAAGGAGAAAGAGAAGAAAGGAGAAGAAAAGAAAAGGAGGAAGAAGGAAAAGGAGAGAAAAGGGAAGGAAGGAGAGGAAGGGAAAGGAGAAGAAAGGGAAAGAACGAGAAGAAAGAAGAAGAAAGGCGAATTAGAAAGATAAAATGGGAGGAGAAGAAAGGAGGAGTAGAAATGGAAGGAGAGGAAGAGTAAGGAAGGTGTAGAAAAGAGAAAGGAGAAAAAGAAAAGCAGCTTAGAGAGGAGAAGGAGATGAGAACGAAGGAGAAGGAGGAAGGAAGAAAAGGAAAGCAGGAAAAAGAGGGAAAGAAGGAGGGAAGGAAAAGAGAAGTAGAAAAGGGAAGGAAGGAGAGGGATGGAGGAGTAGAAAATAGAAAGGAGAAAGGAGAAGGAGTAGAAAAGTGAAAAGAAGAGAGGAAGAGAAAGGAGGAGAAAAGAAAAAAGGAGGAAGAAGGAGGAGGAGTAGAAAGGGGAAGGACTGAGAGAAAAAGGAAGGAAGAAGGACGAAGCAGGAAAAATGGGAAGGAAGCAATCAGGAGTAGAGAAGGAAGGAGAAAGAAGGAGTAGAAAAGGAAATGAGAAGGAAGGGAGGAGAAAAAGGGAGAGGGAGGAGGAAGAGATGGAACAGGAGGAGAAGAAAAGAGGAGTAGAATAGAGGAGGAAGGAGAAAGAAGAAGAAAGGAGGAGGAGAAAAGAAAGTAGGAGGGAGAAGGAAGAGAAGAAAAGAGAAAGAACTAGAAGAAGAAGAAAAATGGATTAGAGATAAAAATGGGAGGAGACGAAAGGAGAGAGAAAGGGAAGGAAGAGGAAGAGTAAGGAAGGTGTAGAAAAGAGAAAGGAGAAAAGGAAAAGCAGATTAGAGAGGAGGAAGAAACAGAAGGAGAAGGAAGGAAGAGAAAAAGGAAGGAAGGAGGAGGAAAAAGGGAAAAAAAGGAAGGAAGGAGAGAAAAGGGAAGAGAGGAAGAGAAGGAAGGAGGTAGAAAAGAGAAAGAAGGAAAAGAAAGAAGGAGAGAGAAGGGACAAAAGAGAGAAAAGGAGGAGAAGGAGGAAGAAAGGAGAACGAGTAGAAAAGGGAAGGAGAGGAAAAGAAGGAGGAGAAAGGGAAAGAGTGGAAAGAGGGAAGGAAGAGGAGGAGAGGGAATGAGAGGTAAGGCCGACCCCTTCCGCTCCCCGCTTTGATGCTCCGCTCACTTGGGTGAGTTCCGGGTGTAGAAGGGGCTCTGGAGGATCCCGGCCGGGAACACGATCTCGTTCTTGGTCGGGGAGTAGTAGGCATTCACCGTCAGTGGGGTCATGCTCCACCTGCAAAAAGATGAACCGGGAAGGCAAAGGAGGAAGAAGGGGAGGCGCAAACAAGGCCCTGTTCCCCTCTCTATGCATGGATTTCACCAGCCATACCAGGACCGGCCACCAGGGGGCAGCAAAGGACAGGAGGAAAACAACAAGGAAGGGAAACAATCAAAGGAAAACAAACAACCAAACAAGCCACCAACAAACATCAGTGGCTTGGGGTCTCGCTCTTTCCCCTGGACTTACTGGTCGCGGTTGGGGGGCTTCCGCAGCTGGTCGGCGGCCAGTCGGGCCGAGAAGTTCAGGAACTGCATGACGTTCTCGAAGTAGAGGTCGGGGGCCGCCTCGTACTGCCGGGAAGCAAGGCAGCCCCATTAATACGGGGGTCCCATTGGGGTCTCAGTTCTCAGGACTGTCCTTCCTTCCTTCCTCCCTTCCCCCGGGTTTCGATCCCGAAACTCACGTCGGCGAAGACTTTGTCCAGCTCCTTGGGGTCCATGATGAACTTGGGGTAGCCGATGAGGTCCGCGATGGCTTCGGCCTTCTCGCGGGCCGAGCGCCGCGTCTCCACGTCCATCCAGTGCAGCCCGGCCAGGCTCTCCTCAAAGGCCCCCTTGATCTCTGCTATCATCTCCTCCACCTGGAGAGGAGGCCACAGCAGAGGTAGAGTGGCCACTCCGGGAGGGTAGAGTGGCCGTCCCTAAACGCACCCACCTTGGACCCCACCCCCACCCCCTTGGGGGACAGAGGAAGCCAAGGGACTCACTGTGGTCTTGCTGTCTTCGGCAAGCTCCGGGAAAGTAGAGTGGCTGTCCCCAAATCCACCCACCCACCCTGGATATCCTCCTTGGGGACTCTGGGCGGGTACAGTGGCTGGCCACAAACCCACTCACCCTGGAACCCTCCTTGGGGGGTCTGGAATGGTACAGTGGCCGTCCCCAAATCCACCCACCCCGGAACCCCTCTTGGGGTCCAGGAGGGTAGAGTAGCCGTCCCCAAATCCACCCACCCTGGAACCCCTCTTGGGGTCCAGGAGGGTAGAGTAGCCATCCCCAAATCCACCCACCCTGGAACCGCTCTTGGGGTCCAGAAGGGTAGAGTGGCCGTCCCCAAAGCCACCCACCCTGGAAGCCCTCTTGGGGTATGTAGGAGGCCAAAGGACTTACCACAGCCTTGCTGTTTTCAGCAAGCTCTGGGAGGGTAGAGTGGCCATCCCCAAATCCACTCACCCTATAGGTCCCTTGGTGGGTGCAGGAGTGGAGAGTGGCCGTCCCCAAATCCACCCACTCCATAGGCCCCCTTGGGGGATCCGGGAGGGTAGAGGGGCCATCCCCAAACGCACCCACCCCATAACCCCCCCCCCTTGGGGGATGGAGGAGGCCAAGGGACTCACCACGGCCTTGCTGTCTTCGGCGTAAGTGGCCCTCACAAACATGGCGCCCAATGGAAAGCCCAGGTTGTTGTCCGTGTCGCTGACGCAATACTTCCAGCGAGGCAAACAGGCCTAGAAGGAGGAACACAAACACACCCTCATCCTCATATCTGGCCTTCATCATCATCGTCATCATCATCATCTCCTCTTTTACTTATTCTAATTCTTTCCATTATTATACTTATGTTCATGCCCTGCCTTCATCTTCTAAATGGGACTCCCCCCTTCACATATTGTTGTTGTTGTAATATCTGGCCTCCATCTCCAAAGGGAGAATCTCCCTTTACTTAATATGAATATTATATTTAGTATTATTATTATTATTTGATACGCAACAAGATGAGTCCACAGCAATCAAGATCACACTGCTGGCTGTTGTATTGGATCCTACATCGGACCCTTCCTCTCTAAAGGACTCTTCCTTTTCTCCTCCTCCAACCGCAGCCCGCTTTGGGGGCGATGGGCCCACGCAGGACCCTCACCTTTTTGGACCCGTACAGGACCTCCAGGAACTTCTCCTCGGCCTCCTGGAAGCGCTGGTCCAGCAAGGTGGCCCCTTTCCGCACCAGATGCCAGACCATGTAGTTGTGCAAGATGCTGGGGGACAAACAAGAACAAGAGGAGTTGGAATAGCAACGGCGTTTCCTCACAGAGATCCGTCTCGGAAAGGAAAGGGTTTCCTTCCTTCCTTCCTTCTTTCCTTCCTTCCTGCTCGCTGTCTGGCTCACCGCCTGTCCGTCTTCTGGATGAGGAGGGACACCTCTCCCAGGTACTCCTTGGCGTAGACCACCACGGGCTCCGAGGCGTTGATCTCCACCGGGGAGAAGACCGCGTTCAGGAGGGGCAGCCAGTCGATGGCAGGCGCCAGGCCCTGAGAAAAGGAAAGGAAAGCAAGCTGGGAAGTGGAAGGGAAGGAGGAAGGCAGGCAGGAAGGCCCCTCCCTCCTTCCTTTGGGTCCTTCCCTTCCCTCTTTCCTTGTGTGTTTACTTTTGCAGGCCTGCCTCCTTTTCCTATTTCCTATCTTATTCCTTCCTTCTCTCTTCATTTATTCATTCCCTCTCTCCCTTCCACTCGTTCGACTCTTCCTTCCTCCCTTGCGAGCCTCTGCCTCCTTCTTTCCTTTCTTCTTCCTTCATACTTCCCTGTTCCTTCCCCCTGCATTTTCCTTCCATGTTCAATTATTTGCTTTCATATACCTGCCTTGCTTTTCTTTTTCTTTCTTTCTTTCCTTCCTTCCCTCCCTCTCTCCCTTCTGCTTTCTTTCCTTTCCTCGTTCAGTTTCCTCTGCCTGCCTTCCTTCTCTTCCCTTCATTCTTCTCTTCCTTCTCAGTCTCCTTCCTTCCTCTTGCTAGTTCATCTTCCTTCCTTCCCTCCCTCTCTCCTTCCTCCCATTCCTTTTCCTTCCTTCCTTCCCAGTCTCTCCCTCCTTCCTCATTTATTTGCTTCCTTCTACCTGCCTTGCTTCTTCCTTCCTTCCTTCCTTCCTTCCTTCCTTCCTTTCCTCCCTCTCTCTTTCCTCCCTTCCTTCCCTTCCTTCCTTCCTTCCTTCCTTCCTTCCTTCTCTCCTTCCTCCCATTCCTTTTCCTTCTTTCCTCCCCAGTCCCTCCTTCCTCATTTATTTGCTTCCTTCTACCTGCCTTGCTTCTTTCTTCCTTTCTCCTTCCTTCCTTCCCTCTTTTTCCCTTCCTTCGCAGCCTCTCCTTCCTTCCTTCCCTCTTTTTCCCTTCCTTCGCAGCCTCTCCTTCCTTCCTTCCCTCTTTTTCCCTTCCTTCGCAGCCTCTCCTTCCTTCCTTCCCTCTTTTTCCCTTCTTTCACAGCCTCTCCTTCCTTCCTTCCAACCTCCCTTCCCTCTTTCCTTCCCTCCCATTCCTTTTCCTCCCTCGCTCCCTGCTTCCCTTTCCACCCACCCCACCTTCCTCGTTCCCCTTCCTCTTCCCCACCTGGAGCTCCCCGGCCGTGATGCGGTGGTAGATCTGCTCCTCGTCGCGGCGCTTCTCCTGTGGGACGGTGATGGTGGCCAGTGCCGTCTCAAAGTCCAGCAGCTCCTCCATCTGCCGGCGCGTATCCGCCTCCTCCCCGCCCCCCAGCAGTGACCCCAGCCGCACCATGAAGGACAGGTAGCCCCGCAGCACCTGTGGCAGGGCAAGGAGAGAAGAATTGGGATTGATGTCATGCCCATGGCATCAGGCTGGATGCACTTGGGCTCCCCCCTTCAGACAATGTTAACTGCAAGAGCAGGAGTCGGGCATGAAACCAGGGCAGCAAATAGTACAGATTACGTGCCACCGTTTTCAGCAGGAATCCCAGAACAACTGTGAGGTCAGCCTAGATGCCCTTTGGGTTCCCCCTTCAGAAAATCCTACCGTTTTAAGATGTAAGAGGAGCAGGACCTGAGCATGAAACCGAGGCAGCAAATGGTGCGGATGATGTGCCGCCCTTTTAGGCTGCAAGCTAAACTCTGCTTTGGGGTCAGACCAGATAACCTTTGGCTTCCCCCTTCAGACAAGGAGTCCCAGCACTTACCTTCTCATTCTGGGTCTTATTGAGGTAATAATCCCTGGCGGGGAGATACAGCCCGGACTGGTCGACCTGCGAAGGGAGAGCGGCGGGTGGATCAGCACACGGCACATAGGGGTGTGTGCGGTCCCGATTCCGCCCCACTGTCCCGAATTGCCCTTCAAAAACAGCTTTAATACAATGTTGAAAGTAAAAGAAAAATGCTTTACTTCAGCAGACACGAAGGATAAGCAAATGCAATTGAAAAGTGCAAAAGAAAGCGAGAAAGTCTTCATCCAGACACAAATTAAAGTCTCTTACAAAATCCCAAAAGAGACAGCAGTCTTCCATTAGACAACAGGCAATGAACTAAGTTTTTAGCAGCAGACGCAAAGCAGATTCCATTGGAATGAAAACATCAGTATCTGGGTCGTTGTTACCAGTGAAAGCTGACTGCTCCTGATACTGATTTATAGCATGCAGGAAGTGCTAGGGCGTCTCTCAATTAGCTCAACGTTTTTAGTAGCTATTCTAGCTGAGCACCGTCTGTGCTCTGTCTCTTTTCGTCTCTCGAGAAATGTGTTTACTTACAAACTCTCATAATCTGATTCTTCTTCTCCCTCCAATTCCCGAGCACTTCTCTGCTCCCCTTCCTCTTCCGAAGATGAGGAATCCCTAACACCCACACGAACCTGGATGATGTTGACGCTGGCGTTCTTGGAGTCGGCGGCCACGTCCAGGGCGAAGAAGGGGGAGGTGTGGTGCCGGGCCATAACCTCCAGCAGCGTCTGGTTGAAGTCAGACTCCTCCCAAGGACCGCTGATGTTCCAGCCCCCCAACTGCCGAGGGAGAGAGAGAGAGAGAAAGCTGGGACGAGGAAACACACCAGCCGATCCCTCCCAGCAGATGGCCAGCCAGTCTATGCTGGAGACCACCACGTTTTCCTAATCCTCCCTTTAATATTCTTGGTTTTAGCCCACCCAGAGATCCATTTAGTAGCATGAGGCCTGGCGTTGGGGGCTCACCCTACCTTCTGGATGCGGTCCAGCAGCGGCTTGGCCTTCAGCTCCTCGATCTGGCTCTCATTCATGCAGGACTGGTAGTAGCGCTGCGCCTTCCGCTCGGCTTCGCTCGGCACGTTGGCCGTCGTGTTCTCTGCAAAACGGAAGCCAAAACACAAGGGAGGGGGTGATGATGATGGGAGTCGCAGTCCCGAAAGGAGGTCCGTGTATCCTTTGGAGCGGCGGCCCCTTCCTGGCGCAGCGTCTCAATCACGGAGGTCAAAAGTGGGGTGTGTGTAAAGGGAAATGCATAATATCAGCTTCGTCATGGTCATCAAAAGGGGAGTGTGGATGCTGTTAGGGGGGAGATTATGGAGCGTGAAACCCAAATATAATATTATTATTATATTTATAAAGCAGAATATAAATATAATAATAATAATAATATAATGATATTCACGATGATGATAATACCAATACTAATATGGGAGGAGAGATAAAGCAGGGTATAAATAAATAAAGTAATAATATAATGATATTAATTTTGATGATAATAATAATAATAATAATAATAAATAAAGTGGTAAATAAAGTGGGATATAAATAATAATAATATAATGATATTAATGATGATAATTACTAATATGGGAGGAGAGATAAAACCAGGTATAAATATAGTAATAATAATAATAATAATAATTATTATTATTATTTATTAAAAATAAAATAAATAATATTATATTATTATATAATATAATAAGATTAATATGGGAGGATAATTAATTCAGGATATAAATAAATATAATAATTATTGTAATGATAATACTAATATGAGAGGAGAGATAAAGCCAGGTATAAATATAATAATAATAATAATAATAATAATAATAATAATATAATATATAAAATATATAATAATAAGATTAATATGGGAGGATAAATATGGGAGGATAATTAATGCGGGATATAAATAAGTATTATAATTAGAATTATTATATTTATTTACATGATAATAATACTAATATGGGAGGAGAGATAAAGCCAGGTATAAATATAATAATAATAATAATGTTATTATTTATTTATTATTAGAAATAAAATAAATAATAATAATAATATATCATTATATAATATAATAAGATTAATATGGGAGGATAATTAATGCAGGATATAAATAAATATAATAATTATTATAATGATAATACTAATATGGGAGGAGAGATAAAGCCTGGTATAATAATAATAATAATTTATATAATAATAAGATTAATATGGGAGGATAAATATGGGAGGATAATTAATGCAGGATATAAATAAATATTATAATTATAATTTTTATATTTATTTACATGATAATAATACTAATATGGGAGGAGAGATAAAGCCAGGTATAAATATAATAATAATAATAATAATAATAATAATAATAATAATAATAATAATAATATCATTATTATTATTATTATATAATATAGTAAGTTAATATGGGAGGATAATTAATGCGGGATATAAATAAATATAATAATTATTATAATGATGATAATAATACTAATATGGGAGGAGAGATAAAGTGGGGTATAAATGATAATAATATAATGATATCAGTGATGATAATAATAATAATAACTAATATGGGAAAAGAGAAAGCGGGGTATCAATAATAATATAATGATATTAACAATGATAATAATAATAACTAATATGGGAGGAGAAATATAGCAGGGTATAAATAATAATAATAATAATAATAATAATATGAATTTTGATAATAATATTAATATGGAAGGCCAGATAAAGCGGGATATAAATAATAACAATATATTGATATTAATGATGATGATGATTATAATAATACTAATATGAGAAGAGAGATAAAGCAGGATACAAATAATAATAATAATAATAATGAGAAGAGAGATAAAGCAGGATATTAATAATAATATAATGATATTAATTTTGATCATAATACTAATATAGGAGAGATAAAGCAGGATATAAATAAATATAATAATATAAATATAATGATATTAATTTTGATCATAATACTAATATAGGAGGAGAGATAAAGCGGGATATTAATAATAATAATATTAATAATGATGACGATAATAATAATAATGATAATAATAATACGAATATGAATTTAGACGGGGGATTGCTGCTCCCAGAATACCCATTGAGCGGTGGGCATTCCATAATAACTATCTCAGCTCCCTGATGAGGAGGATGACCACTCTGGCCACCTTGACCACACTAAGCTGCCTGGGAAATGTGCAACGGGGCAAAAAGGAAGTGGAAAATCCACGCCAAGGCCTGGCAGGAAAAGCGCGCTGCCGGCCTGTCTGACCCGAGAACGAAGGCTGCTGATAAGGGGAACAAAAGGGTCCCCTCCCTCCCTCCCCTTCAGCCCGGCAGGAAGGCACCACGTGACCCCTCCCGCCAGACGGCCAGACGTACCCAGGAGGTGCTTGAGGATGGCTTGGTTATGCTCCCAGAGTTTGTTGAAGGTGCCCCACCGGGAGTGCCCGTCGGGGATGGGGTTGGCCTTGGTCCACCCGCCGCAGGAGAAGCGGAAGAAGTCCTCACAAGGGTCCACCGAGCGGTCCAGCGAGGCCAGGATGGCGCTGGAGGCCGCCACGCACGACTCCGACAGGCAGGGCCCTGGTCAGTCCGAGGAAGGAGAGGGGTCAGCCAGGGAGCCACGGGAGGGCATCTAGTCCACCCCGGTCTGCACTAAAGCACTCACGGGGCCGGAACGGGATGGCCAGGAGGCAGAGGCAGGCCAGCAGCGCAGCCAGGAGGACGGCCACCAGGACCAGCAGGCGCTTCTCCGGCGCAGGACGGCGGGACCAGCAGCTCTGGACCCCAAGCGGGCCGCGGAAGTTCACCTGCGAGGAGGAGGCAACAGGCAGGTGTTTGCATTATTTACAACAACACGGTTTCCGTAACACAAATAAAGTTCTTTACACTTCCTTCTTTGCTTCCACGCTGGGCTTCTTTCTCATGCTTCGCTCTCACAGAGCCTCTTCTCACACCGAACTAACACAGGAGCTTTACACACAGCAGTCTTCATATGAACTTCACACACAAGGCCTTCAAGCTGGGGCTTCTCTCACCAAAGCTTCTCACACCAGGTCTACTGATACTGAGGCCTACCTCCCACTGAGGCCTTTCTCACACCCTGATGCAAACTAACATAGAGAGGATTCTCATACAGAGGCCTCTCTCACTGAGGTCTGCTAACACTGAGGGCGACCTCAGACTCAGCCCTTTCTCCCACTGAGACGAATTAACAGAGGCCCTTCTCCCACAGAGACATCTCACGGGGCTACTTCTGACTGAGGCCTATCATACTGAATCCTCTCTTACTGAGGTCTGCTAACACTGAGGGCTTCTTCAGACTGACAGCCAACTAACACAGCGGCCTTCTCATTCTGAGGCCTCTCATAGACTGAGGGCTACCTCAGACTGAGGCCTATCATACTAAGGCCGCTCTCAGTGAGGTTCACACGGAGACTTCTCTCACTGAGGTCTGCTAACATGGTGGGCTCCCTCAGACTGACGGCAAACTAACACTGAGGCCTCCTCATACTCTCATAGACTGAGGGCTACCTCACACTGAGGCCTATCATACTAAGGCCGCTCTCAGTGCGGTTCACACTGAGGCTTCTCTCACTGAGGTCTGCTAACATGGAGGGCTCCCTCAGACTGCCGGCAAACTAACACTGAGGCCTTCTCATACTGAGGTCTCTCTAGACTGAGGGCTACCTCAGACTGAGGTCGCTCTCAGTGATTTTCACACTGAGGCTTTTCTCACTGCTAACACAGAGGGCTCCCTCAGACTGATGATGAACTAACACTGAGGCCTTCTCATACTGAGGCCTCTCATAGACTGAGGGCTCCCTCAGACTGAGGCATAGCATACTGAGGCTGCTCTCAGTGAGGTTCACACTGAGGCTTCTCTCACTGAGGTCTGCTAACACAGAGGGCTCCCTCAGACTGATGGCAAACTAACACTGAGGCCTTCTCATACTGAGGTCTCTCATAGACTGAGGGCTACCTCAGACTGAGGCCGCTCTCAGTGAGGTTCACACTGAGGCTTCTCTCACTGAGGTTTGTTAACACTGGGGGTGACCTCAGACTGACGGCAAACTAACACTGAGGCCTTTTCATACCGAGGCCATTCTCAGACTGAGGCCTACCTCAGACTGAGGCCTATCTACCTGGGGGCAAAAGAAACCAATTTAATTTCCTTTGGATCCTTAAGTCCTTAATTAGACGACCAATGCAATGATTCACAGATTTCTCTCTCTCTCTCGCACGCGAAGGCGCAACGCCAAAGGTCAAACCAGGTGCTTTCGACATGTGTTTTCTCAGCAAACAGATCCATTTCTCTTTATCACCAAACAGGCCGCGAGCTTGTTTTTGCTTGGCTTGGAAACTGAGAGTGACGCAACCGCTCCCTGGCCCTTTACGGGGGGCAAAGTTCGGGTTTCCAGAACGACAACAAAGGGCCAGAAGACGGGTTTTTCCAGCCAGAGTCCTCAGAGCCAATGGTCATCTTATTGCCATGCAACGGGGCGGGACTAGATGACCTTTGGGGTTCCCTTTTCGGGGCTCAGAGCCTCCTTTTTGGAATCCGGGGCCTCTTTCCCTCATTGCTCGGGAACATTCCCAGTAATCCCTTCCAGATTCCCATCTGTTCCCATCAAAAGGCTTCGTGACAATGTCTTTGGAGCAGAATTTGTGGTCTGTATTCCTTTCCCCGTCCCCAGTTCCAGATATTTCCCAAGTCGAGCGAATGCAGTTCTGATGGCACTGGGACAATGAAAGAATTATGGGATTTGTAGTACGACGAGACCTTAACAGGGCTACAAATCCCAGGGTTCAATGGCATGGAAGGTGAAGGGATGGCGACCCCAAACCCGAAACCCTACATAAATTGGGATTTCTTTTTAAATTGGATCCTAACGGGAACTCCAAAGACCATCCAGTCTGACCCCATTGAGCCAGGCAGGAAGGCATCACCCGAGCCCTCCCAACAGATGGCCATCCAGCTACCAATCGATTGATAAATATAATTGAGAGAGGGACATACGACACATAGTATCCTAGAGATGGAAGGGACCCCAAAAGACCATCTAGTCTGACCCCATTGAGCAGGCACAAAGCCACCACTCGAGCCCTCCCAACAGATGGCCATCCAGCTACCAATCGATTGATACATATAATTGAGAGACATACGACACATAGTATCCTAGTCAGAATGGACCCCAAAAGACCATCCAGTCTGACCCCATTGAGCCAGGCACAAAGCCACCACCTGAGCCCTCCCAACAGATGGCCATCCAGCTACCAATCGATTGATAAATATAATTGAGAGAGGGATATATGACACATAGTATCCTAGTCAGAATGGACCCCAAAAGACCATCCAGTCTGACCCCATTGAGCCAGGCAGGAAGGCACCACCTGAACGCTCCCCACAGATGGCCATCCAGGCATAGATAAAGGGATATGTGTAATATATATCCCGCTCTCAATTGTATCTATCATAGAGTTGGAAGGGGTCCCCAAAAGACCATCCAGCCTGACCCCATTTAGCCATGCACAGACTGAGCCCTCCCAACAGATATCTATTCAGCCACCAATTGATTGATTGATAGATATAATTGAGGGAGGGAGATATGACACATATTTCATTAAGTCCTGAAGGGAAACTCCAATGGCTATCCAGTCTGACCCCATTTAGCCAGGTAGGAAGGTACCACCCAAGCCCTCCCCACAGATGGTCATCCAGCCATAGATAAAGAGGTATATGTATCCTATATCCCACTCTCAATTATATCTATCATAGAATCCTAGAGTTGGAAGGGATCCCTTAAAGACCATCCAGTCTGACCCTGTTGAGTCACCCAAGCTCTCCCCACAGATGGTCATCTGGTTGGACCCTTTTTCAGGCCATTCCCCACCACCAAACATGGAAGAGCTGGGTAAGTCTGGTTGTTCTGACCTGGATGCCGTTGGGGTAGAGCTCTCCATCCGCGGCAGCGTCCACCAGCTCCTCTTCGTCCAGCGTGGCCCTCTTGTAGGTGGACATCTGCAAGAGGAAAGGCATGGGCAAGGCAGGCTCCCTCGGGCGCTCCATCGCCATCCCAGGGGCCCACAGCACCAACCCCAAGACCCCAAGCCCAGGGCTGTCCGTCCCCCTCTCTTCCCCTCCCTCTTTTGGCATCTGGTGCCCAGAGCAGGGAAGGAGAAGAACAAGGAGAAGAAGAAGACAAAGAACAAGAAACAAGAAGAGGAAGACCACAAAGAACAAGAAGAAGAATACGAAGAACAAGAAGAACAAGAAGATGAAGACCACAAAGAACAAGAAGAACAACAACAATAAGAATAAAAAGGACAAGAAGAACACAACGAAGAATACGAAGAACAAGAAGATGAAGAACAAAAGGAAGAACAAGAACAAAAAAGAATGACAAGAAGGACAAGAAGAACACAAAGAAGAATAAAAAGAACAATAAGAAGAACAAGAATAAGAAAAAGAAGAAAATCAACAAGAAGAACGAGAACAGGAACAAAAAGGAGAAGAAGAAAAAAGACAAGAAGAACACAATGAAGAAGAATACGAAGAACAAGAAGATGAAGACAAAAGGAAGAACAAGAACAAAAAAGAATGACAAGAAGGACAAGAAGAACACAAAGAAGAATAAGAATACAAGAACAAAAAGAAGAAAAATAACAAGAAGAACGAGAACAAGAAGAAGAACAAAAAAGGACAAGAAGAACACAACGAAGAAGAATACGAAGAACAAGAAGACGAAGAAAAAGAAAGACAAGAACACAAAGAACAATAAGAAGAACAACAAGAGCAAGAAAAAGAAGAAAAACAGCAAGAAGAATGAGAACAAGAACACAAAGGAGAAGAACACAAAGAAGAACAAGAACAAAAATAATGACGACAACAAGAAAGAGAACAAAAGAGGACAGCAAGAAGAACAGCAAAAAGAACAAAAAAGTTCAAGAAGGAGAAGGAGAAGAAGAAAAGCAAGAAGGAAAAAAAAGAACAAGAAGAAGAACAACAAGGAGAACAAGAAGAAGAACAAGAAGATCAAGAAGAACAACACGAAGGCGCCCCCAAAGGCAGCCAACCAAAGCCTCTCCCATCATCCGACACACCAAACACACGCTTTGCTGGGCCTTTCCAGAAGGCTTTTTGCCCTGGCGATGGCTCTGAGTTCGAATCCCGCTTGGGGCGGAAGGCACACTCTCTCCGCCTCTGAGGAAGGCAAGGCTCCGTCCCTTCCTGGCCCCTCATCTTGCCAAGAGAAATCCCGCCAGAGGGTTGCCGTCAAGCCCACCCAGAGATACAAGTGGACCAACAACAACAACAACAACACTAGTACTAGTGATGTGCCCTGAAGGCCCAGAGCAGCGCATTCTGCACCCACAACACAATATTGATTATTTCAGTCCAAGCCTTACATAAAGAAGCAAACTCTCGCATTGCAAAATGTGTTTTTGGTCTCATGCGACTGCGCATTTTCCTAACCGTTTTGAGATGGATTTGACGCCTGGGATGCCTAGAACGCAAGGCTCCCTTTCCTGCCCAAAGCGGCCTTTCCGCTTCCTCCTCCGCTTTTGGGCTCTGGGTTCGAGTCCCATGCAATCCCTCTTTCTTCTCCTTCTCTTTGGGGCAAAAGGTTTGGAAGCACGGCTGGCTTTTGGCCGGGCGGAGGAGGTCCCTTCCTTCCTTCCTGCGTCCAGCGGGTTGCTTGCGTCCGAAGACAGGAGATCAGGTTACAGGACAACAAACAAGGCAGGGATGACCACCACAAAATGGAGAGAGAGAGAAGGAAGGAAAGGAGGGAAAGAAAAGAAAAGAAAGGAGGAAAGGGGAAGAAGAAGGAAGGAAGGGAAAGAAGAAAAGATGAGTTTGTATCATCTGGATGGGGCCAGAATAAAGAAGGGGAGCCGGGAGGACATTGCCATCTTGTCCCCTGTGACATCAGCGCCCCTCCCCCAACACCAACGGCCACTCTGGGGCCAGAATAAAGAAGGGGAGCCGGGAGGACATTGCCATCTTGTCCCCTGTGACATCAGCGCCCCTCACCCAGCACCAACGGCCACTCTGGGGCCAGAATAAAGAAGGGGAGCCGGGAGGACATTGCCATCTTGTCCCCTGTGACATCAGCGCCCCTCCCCCACCACCAACGGCCACTCTGGGGCCAGAATAAAGAAGGGGAGCCGGGAGGACATTGCCATCTTGTCCCCTGTGACATCAGCACCCCTCCCCCAACACCAACGGCCACTCTGGGGCCAGAATAAAGAAGGGGAGCCGGGAGGACATTGCCATCTTGTCCCCTGTGACATCAGCACCCCTCCCCCAACACCAACGGCCACTCTGGGGCCAGAATAAAGAAGGGGAGCCAGGAGGACATTGCCATCTTGTCCCCTGTGACATCAGCGCCCCTCCCCCAACACCAACGGCCCCTCTGGGGCCAGAATAAAGAAGGGGAGCCAGGAGGACATTGCCATCTTGTCCCCTGTGACATCAGCCCCTCCCCCAACACCAACGGCCACTCTGGGGCCAGAATAAAGAAGGGGAGCGGGGAGGACATTGCCATCTTGTCCCCTGTGACATCAGCACCCCTCCCCCAACACCAACGGCCACTCTGGGGCTAGAATTGTTTTTAACTATGTTTTGAATTTTGTTGTTCCTATGTTGTACACCGCTGTGAGTCACCCCTGGGCTGAGAACAGCGGTATATAAGCAAAGTAAATAAAATAAATAAATAAATAAAAAGAAGAGAAGGAAGGAAGGAAGGAAAGAAGGAGAAGGAAGGAAGGAAGGAAAGAGGAAAAGGAAGGAACGAGGAAAAGGAAGGAAGAGAGAAAAGGAGGGAGGGAAGGAAAGAGGAAAAGGAGAAAGAGGGAAAGGAAGGAGGAAGAAGAGGGAAGAAGGGAAGGAAGGAGGGAGGGAAAGGAAAGGAAGAAAGAAGGAAGAAAGAAGGAGGAAAGGAAAAGAAAGAAAAAAGGAAGAAGGAAAAAAGGAGGAAGAAGGAAAGGAAAGAGGGAAAGGAAAGAAAGAAGGAAGAAAGGAAAGGAAGAAAGGGGGGAAGGAAGGAGAAAAAGGGGAAAAGGAAGGAAGGAAGAGGAAAGGAAGGAAAGAAGAAGGAAGGAGGAAAGAAGAAAAGGGAAAGGAAGGAAGAAAAAGGGAGAAGGAAGGAGGAGAAAGAGAAGAAGGGGAAAAAGAGGAAGGAGAAGAGGAAAGGAGGAAGAAGAAAAGAGGGGAAGGAGAAAGAAGGGAAGAGAAGAGAAAGAAGGTAAAAGAAGAAGGGAAAAGAAGGAAAGGTAAGAGAAAGAAGGAAAGAAGGAAGAAGAGGAAAGGAAGAAGGGAGAAGAAGGAAGAAAAGGAAAGAAAGAAGGAAGGAGAAAAGGAAGGAAGAAGGAAAGAAGGGAAGGAAGGGACTTCTCTCCTCCGCCCTCCCCCCTTCCTCCAAACTATGCAGAATGGGTTGTGAGTCTATGAGAGATTCATTGAGAAATTAGAGCAAAATGGGCTCTCCTGTTAGGAATGGTGGGAGTTGGAGTCCCAAACACCTGGAGGGAGGAAGAGCTCTCTCCACTGTGGAATGAGCACGGTTCCAGTTCCACCGCCGGGGCTTTTGCCTTGGAATGGGAGCCGAAGGGCGTCAATGCCTTCCACGGTGTTTACACAACGGAGAGACGGAGAGAGAGAGGCCCGGGCGCTCGCTTGTCAACACGGGAAGCGCATGCATGCACGGCAGTGCTTTCCATTTCCAAACGCCAGGGAAATGGCCATAAATCTAGCCTGGATTAAGGCAGACCTTTTCCCATCCTGCCAAGAAAACCCTTTTCCTGTTGCTCTAAGTCAGGCACAACAACAACAACAACAACAACAACAAGAACAACAAAGACGAGGAACCCGGCATCCAAACCAACCTCTTTATRGCATGARCGTAACCCTTTTGGACCAGCGGAGGAAGGACMGCAAAGGCCCCAAAATAAGGCCCYCCCTTCCTTCCTTCCTTCCTTCCTTCCTTCCTTCCTTCCTTCCTTCCTTCCTTCCTTCCTTCCTTCCTTCCTTCCTTCCTCCGGAGCGGKRCTYCRGTCGCTTCTTCCTTCCTCCYGAGCAGCTCTTTCGTTTCCCAAACARGGCASAACTCTTCCTAKGAGGARATGGCTTTGGCCACCAGMAAGGAAARGGGMTCTCACCTCTTTCTTCCTTCCTTCCTTGGAGTCCCAGGAAGAGGTAAAGAGCAAAGGGGGAAGTGCTCTAGAGGAGGGAACTCAGTGGCAAAGTGGCCTCAGTTTCCCCACCACGGAATGGAATGGAAGAATGGATGGAGAGGTCAACAGGGAGGAGGAGGAAGTGGTGACTCAGGGCCGGCCGGCCTGCCTTCCTTCCTCCCAATCGGGACGTCCATCTGTCCAGGGAGTGGGCATTTCCCTCCATTTCCTGCAAGAGGCCAAAGGTAAACAATGCCCTTTCTTTCCCCCTGAACTGGGAAGGAGGTCCATGTTGCCACTGCCTCCAAAGCGGAAGCCTAAGGCCAGAAGGGATCCCCAAAGACCATCCAGCCCAACCCCCTAATAATAATAATAATAATAATAATAATAATAATAATAATACAATAATACTTTATTTATATTCCACCCAACCTCTCTCCCAGGGCGGATTCCAAACATAAAAGGAAAAAGGTAAGAAGGAAGGAAGGAGGAAGGAAAGAAGAAGGAAGGAAGGAAAAAGAAAAAAGGAAGGAAGGAAGAAGTAAAGGAAAGAAGGAGGAAGGAAAGAAGAAAAGGAAGGAAGAAAGAAGCAAAGAAAGGAAGGAAAAAGGAAAGGAAAGGAACGAAGGAAAAAAGAAAAGAAAGCAAGGAAGGAAGGAAGGAAGGAAGAAGGGAAGAAGTAAAGGAAGGAAGGAAGAAGAAAAGGAAGGAAGGAAGAAGAAAAGGAAGGAAGGAAAAAGGGAAAAAGGAAAGGAAGGAAGGAAAAAAGAAAGAATGAAAGAGAAGGAAGGAAAGTAGAAAGGGAAGGTAAAAGGAAGGAAAGGAAGATGGGAAGGAAGCAAGGAAGGAAGAAGGAAAGAAGGAGGAAAGGAAGGAAGGAAGGAAGGAAGGAAGGAAGGAAGGAAGGAAGGAAGGAAGGAAGGGAAGGAAAAAAAGAAGGAAAGGAAGGAAGGAAGGAAGGAAGAAATAAAAAGGAAGGAAGGAAGAAAAAAAGGAAAAAGAAAGGAAGGAGGAAAAGGAAGGAGGAAGGAAAGAAGGAAGGAGGGAGGAAAGAAAGGAAGGGAGGGAGGGAGGAGTGAGATTGATTCAATGCCGCATGTAGAGAGTGTTGCAGTAGTCCAGGCGGGATGTGACTAAGGAGTGATAGAGTTGGGTGTCATCCGCATACATCTGACACCAAAGTCCTTGTTCCTAGGGAGGAAGGTACCACCCAATCTCCCCCGACGGATGGCCATCTGGCCTCTGCTGACAGACCTCCGGAGAAGGAAGAAAGGAGGGAAGGAAGGAAGAGAGACTCCAAAGGCCAGGAAGCTCTCAACACTGAGGTGGCACCCCCAGCGTAGTTTGGGTGGGCCTCCTCTTTTGGGTGGGCTTGGGTTGTGCCTCCCTGTGAGGGTTCCTCTCCTCTGCAAAACGGAATCAGGCTGGCCCTCTCTCAGGAGGGATTCAGCCGTGCTCTCCTCCAAGGAAGGGGGTGGAACAGATGGCCCTTGGGGGTCCCTTCACTGGCGAGGAAAGTGGGAGAATGACACTTGCACGCTTGAAAGGGGCGAGAAAGAGGCACGGTTCCTGCTGGACCTCTGCCCGGATGGACGAAGGGATGGACAGCTTGGCTCTTGGCCCAAGGCCACCTGCCAGGTTCGCTGACCCACCGGACGCTGGGCCAAAATCATGCCCCAAAGCCAGTCTCAACCAGTTGTAGGGACCTGGAAGCGGGACCAAGGAGGAACCAAAACAAGGGCCACGCGGTGGCCACAGACAATCACACCATAATGGAACTGGAAGGGACCTCTCAAGGCCATCTAGTCCAACCCCCTTCTGCCTGCCATGCTGGAAATGCACAATCAAAGCCCTCCTGACAGATGGCCACCCAGCCGTTGCTTCAAAGCCTCCAAGGAAGGAGTTTCCACCACTTCATATTAATATCATATATATAATATAATATATAACAATATAATCATACAATAAGAACATATATTTATATAACATTAGAAATTAATAATATATATATGATAATATAATATATATTACTATAATAAAATATATAATATAATAATAAATTATATATATAATTTTATATATATATATATATATATATATATACATATATATAAAAAAAATAATAAAAATATAAGGATGGAAGAGACCCCATGGGCCATCTAGTCCAACTCCTTCTGCTATGCTGGAAAAGAACAATCAAAGCCCCACTGACAGATGGCCATCCAGCCTCTGTTTCAAAGCCTCCAGGGAAGGAGATAGATAGATGGAATCATAGAATAAATAAAGTTGGAAGAGATCCCACAGGCCATCTAGTCCAAGCCCAGGATGCCATAAAGGCACCATCAAAGCACCCCTGACAGATGGCCATCCAGCCTCTGTTTCAAAGCCTCCAGGGAAGGAGATAGATAGATGGAATCATAGAATAAATAAAGTTGGAAGAGATCCCACAGGCCATCTAGTCCAAGCCCAGGATGCCATAAAGGCACCATCAAAGCACCCCTGACAGATGGCCATCCA